AAACAGTACCGGCAGGCTCTGTTTTCAAGTTTTTCTGGCAAGGAACCGCCTCCAAACTGTTCTCCACGAGTGGTTTGTACTATCGCACATTTCTCCGAGAGAGACTTGTTTGTTTGTTTGTTTGTTTTTATGAGTTAGATTCTTTGCGTCCTGTCACCAGGCTTGGAGTGCAGTGGCGTGATCCTCAGCTCACTTTGAGACACTCCAAGTCCCGGGTTTCAAGGGGGGGGGAAAGTCCGCGATTCTTTTCCTGCCTTCAGCCTCCCAAAGGTAGCTGGTGACTTACAGGGTGGCCCGCCACCACGCCCAGATAATTTTTGTATTTTTAGTAGAGATGGGGTTTCACCATGTTGGCCAGGATGGTCTCGATCTCTTGACCTTGTGGTCCACTCACCTCGGCCTCCCAAAGTGCTGGGATTACAGGTATGAGTCACTGTGCCCGGCCTTCCTGAGAGTTTTAAGTGTAATCATTGCTGAACTAACGGCACACCATGCTACTTTTCATGTTTTTTTGAGACTGAGTCTCAACTCTGTCACCCAGGTTGGAGTGCAGTGGCGTGATCTTGGCTCACTGCAACCTCCTCCCCTTGGGTTCAAGAGATTCTCCTACCTCAGCCTCCTGAGTAGCTGGGATTACAGGCGTACACCACCACATCTGGCTAATTTTTGTATTTTTAGTAGAGATGGGGTTTTACCATGTTGGCCAGGCTGGTCTCGAACTCCTGACCTCAGATGATCCATCCACCTCGGCCTCCCAAAGTGCTGGGATTATAGGTATGAGCCATTGCTCCTGGCCAGATCATGCTTTGTTGACCACACTGAGCTATTTTCAAAGCAATTAAAATTTTGTAAAGGAGTCAGGATTTGCACTCAAGTCTGTCTGACACCAAAAACCATGTAGCCAGCTGCTATTCACTACTTCTTGGGTCCTGGGCATCTAGGACAGTCCAACCCAGGGTACTCACCCAGCCCTGTGCAGTAGCGCCACCTGCCTTGGAATTCCTTGTCAAGAGAACACCAGTCAAAGTCACTGCGGGTGGAGATGCAGCTGTAGTAGGTGACATCACCATAGGTAAACGGGAAGACGCAGGGTTTATGGGAGATCACTGGAAAAGAAAAGACACGTTGGGTTGGGCATGGTGGCTCATGCCTGTAATCCCAGCACTTTGGGAGGCCGAGGCGGGTGGATCACGAGGTCAGGAGTTCAAGACCAGCCTGGCCAAGATGGTGAAACCCCGTCTCTACTAAAAATACAAAAATTAGCTGGGCGTGGTGGCGGGCACCTGTAATCCCAGCTACTCGGGAGGCTGAGGCAGAGAATTTCTTGAATCCGGGAGGCAGAGGTTGCAGTGAGACAAGATCATACTGCTGTACTCCAGCCTGGGCGACAGAGCAAGACTCTGTCAAAAAAAAAGAAAAAGAAAAGAAAAAGACAAGACACGCTGAATGTAGGGCCAGCTTACAAAGTGATTTTTTTTTTTTAATTTTAATTTTTTATTTTTGAGACAGGATCTAGCTCTGTTGCCTAGGCTGGAGTGCAGTGGTACAATCATGGCTCACTGCAGCCTCAGACTCCTAGGCTCAAGTGATCCTCCTGCCTCAGGCTCCCAAGTAGCTGGGACTACAGGTGGATACCACCATGCCTGACTAATATTTATATGTTTTGTAGAGATGAGGTTTTCCCATGTTGCCTAGACTGGTCTCGAACTCCTGGACTCCGGGAATCCATCCATCTTGGCAAAGTGCTGGGATGACAGGCATGAGCCACTGCGCCCGGCCGGACAAAGGGAATTGACTTTTAAATGTCCATCTCGATGATCTGCACTGTGCTTCTCATACATCCCTCCATATCTGCATGTATTAGGTTGCAGCAAAAGTAGTTGCGGTTTTTGCCACTAAAAGTAATGACAGTTAGCTGGTCTCACTAACTGCCCTTTCCTGTGTGTGGTGGAAGATACAAGTGAATATCAAAGGAAGCCTTAATTCAACCCAGGGCTGGAAGCAGACTGGAGTTGCTGGTTTCCTTTTCATGGAAGTCCTCTAGCAACTGCACACCTGATTTCCCTAAGCTAAAACTCTGGAGTCCTTTTTTCTTTTTCTTTTTAGAGACAGGAGAGGAATGGAGATGAGGTAATCATGGGCACATGGAGAAGTCATGATGACAAAGTGGACAAGCATTTTGTTCTAATCTTTTTTTTTTTTTTTTCTTTTGAGACCGAGTCCTACCCTGTTGCCCAGGCTGTAGTGCGGTGATGCGATCTCGGCTCACTGCAAGCTCTGCCTCCCGGGTTCACGCCATTCTCCTGCCTCAACCTCCTGAGTAGCTGGGATTACAGATGCCTGCTACCACGTCCGGCTAATTTTTTGTATTTTTAGTAGAGACGGGGTTTCACCGTGTTAGCCAGGATGGTCTTGATCTCCTGACCTCGTGATCCGCCTGCCTCGGCCTCCCAAAGTGCTGGGATTACAGGCGTGAGCCACAGTGCCGGCCTCTCTCTCTCTCTTGTTTTTCTTTTTAATTTAAAGAGACAGGATCTCACTCTGTCATCCAGGTTGGAGTGCAGTGGCATGATCACAGCTCACTGCTGCCTCAAACTCCTGGGATTAAGCGATCCTCCTGTTTCAGCCTCCTGAGTAGCTGGAATTACAGGTAGTGTGCCCCCACACCTGGCTAATTTTTTTTATTTTTTGTTAAGGCAAGGTCTTGCTATGTTGCCCAGGTTGGTCTTGAACTTCCAGGCTCAAGTGATCCTCCTGCTTCAGTCCCCCAAAGTGCTGGGATTACAGGCCGAGCCACGGCGCCCAGCCTGTAAATTTACTAAACATTGTTGAATGGTAAACTTTAAAATGGATGAATTTGATGGAATGTAGATTGTACCTCGATAAGGCTGTTCAATTTATCAAAGCAAGCAAACAATAAAAACTACCAATGCTTTTTTCGGAAGTTTAATTCATAGAAGTAGAGAGTAGAATGGTGGTTACTGGAGGCTGGGGGTGTGGCATGGGGACTAGGGAGATGTTAAGCGTGATAGAGTTTCAGTTAGACAGGAGAAATAAGTTTTAGAGATCTATTGGACAGCATGGTGACTATTAAATTTCAAAACTGCTAAAGATTAGATTTGATTTTATTGGTTATTTATTTTTAGCTGGAGTCTTGCTCTGTTGTCCAGGCTGGAGTGCAATGGCGTGATCTCTGCTCACTGCAACCTCTGCCTCCCAGGTTCCCATGATTCTCCTGTCTGTCTCCCGAGTAGCTGGGATTACAGGTGCCCACCACCACGCCCGGCTAATTTTTGTATTTTTTTGTAGAGTCAGAGTTTCACCATGTTGGCCAGTCTGCTCTCGAACTCCTGACCTCATGATCTGCCCACCTCGGCCTCCCAAAGTGCTGGAATTACAGGCGTGAGCCACTGCGCCCGGCCAAAAAATTAAATTTTAAGTGTTCTGACCGTAAAAAAATAAGTATGTGAGGTGATGGATTTAACCATTTAACAAAAATAAGTATGTGAGGTGAGGTGATTTAACTTATTTAACAAAATAAGTTTATAACTTATTTAACAAAATAACTTATTTAACAAAACTTATTTAACAAAACTTAAGTTATTTAAAAATAACTTATTTAACTTATTTAAAAATAACTTATTTAACAAAACTTATTTAACTTATTTAACAAAATAACTTAATAACTTATATAACTTATTTAAACTTATTTAACAAAAATAAGTATGTGAGGTGAGGTGATTTAACCATTCCTCAGTGTAAAAATACATCACAATATCCAATTCTACCCCACAAATATATACGATTATTATTTGTTAATTAAAAATAAAATAAAATAATGAACAAACAAAAAGCTGTGGCACAAATGCTGATGTTAGTTACAATGGAGGCGGGAGCAGTTTTTGGAGGGGCAAGGGAGGAAATCTTGAATAGTGAACTGAACTGGATCTTGAAACATGGTTTGGCTGCTGTGACCACGGACGGTCTTTTTGTTTTTTTTTTTGAGACAGGATCTCACTCTGTTGCCCTGGCTGGAGTGCAGAGGCGTGATCACGGCTCACTGCAGCCTCAATCTCCTGGGCTTGAGTGATCCTCTCACCTCGGCCTCCCGTGTAGCTGGGATTACAGGTTCGCACCACCACACCACGGCAATTTTTGTGTTTTTAGTAGAGATAGGGTCTTGCTATGTTGCCCAGGCTGGTCTTGAACTCTTGGGCTCAAGTGATTCTCCCGCTTTGGTCTCCCAAAGTACTGGAATTACAGGCGTGAGTCCCCAGACCTGGCAACGGAGGGCCCTTCACGGCACAAGAACAGCAGAGGAAAGCATGAGATGGCAAGAAAGGGCAAGGGACTTCAGGAATATAATATTGTTTATTGTGAGCGTGTGAGATGCTAACAAATTAAGAGATGGTCTCCCTACCTTGGGTCGGAGGGTGCAAATGTGCAATCAGTTCTGAAAGAGAAAAGAAAGGGTAACATTTAGATCACCTCCTAAGTTACTCTATTCCCAGAGTAATGGCTGTAAAAAGTACCTCAACATTCAAGCAGCCAACTGTTCTGTTGTAAAACACCTACGGTATCATAGCCACGAACACTTCTAATTGGGAGACTGTGCATCTACTCACAAAAGCCCATTTATTTATTTTATTTTATTTTATTTTTTTGAGATGGATCTCGGCTCACTGCAACCTCCGCCTCCTAGGTTCCAGCGATTTTTGTGCCTCAGCCTCCCGAGTAGCTGGGATTATGGGTGCTGACCACCAAACCCGGCTAATATTTGTATTTTTAGTAAAGATGGGGTTTTACCATCTTGGCCAGGCTGGTCTCAAACTCCCAACCTCAAGTGATCCTCCTGCCTCCGCCTCCCAAAGTGCTGGGATTACAAGCGTGAGCCACTGCACCCGGTCTGAAAGCCCATTTATTCAGACAAGGAACTCTGAGCGTTCCAAAGGCTTTCTTTTCATTTTTGAAACATTTGCTTATTTATTTAATTTATTGAGAGGGACAGAGTCTCGCCCTGTTGCCCATGCTGGAGTGCAGTGGTACGACGATGGCTCACTGCAGCCTCGACCCTCTGGGCTCAAACCATTGTCCCCTCTAGGATGGACAGGCATGAGCCATCATGCACAGCTAATTTTTGTATTTTTATTTGGTAGATATGGGGTTTTGCTACGTTGCCCAGGCTGATCTTGACCTCTTGGGCTCAAGAGATCTGCCAGCTGCAGCCTCCTGAGTAGCTCCGAGCATAGGCACGTGCTGTCACACCTGGCTCCTGCAAAGGCTTTTCTAGGGTTAGGTGACAGTAAACTCACTCTATCAATGTTAGTCAACGTCCGCCTATTTGTTGAACTTCTGCAATTCTCCAGGTCAGAGGGAATCCTCTAGCGTTCACCCCCATGTCCACGTTTCAGGAAAACAACGTGTCGATTCACTGCATGAGACTGCATTTTCCCAGAAGCCTCAGTGGTGTGTTTTTTTTTTCTTTTTTCTTCTAGAAAATTGGGCTCTTTCATCATCCTTGAGCCTATTTTAGGGCATTTCAGTGTCTGTTGTATCAACACCTCCCACAGAGCCTCTGTCTAATAACTGACTCAGGCTGACTTGGCCATCACCACGTTCCTGTTGCCGCCTTCATTTCATCTTCACAACAGCCTCAGGAGGGAGATGCGGATTTATGACTCCCTTCCCTCCCAGCCCCACCTCCCAAGTTTGACAGATACGAAAACGTGCTATAAAGGGACAACTTGCCAGAAAGTCTACAGTCGACTGGTAGGAATTAGGCATAAGCTCAAGAAATCTGACTTCACAGACTGTTCTGCACAGTCAGTCTTTGTCGGGGCGCACTGCAGGCGTTCAGTAGATGTTGATCTGACCTCAGAAGTGCCAGTTTTCTGTGCAAGGGAATAAACTTCCCTTTCTCCTTCCTCCTCCCCTCCTCCTCCCCTTTCCCTCCCCATCCCCCTCCCCCTTCCTCTCTTCTTCCCTTCACTCCTCTTTTCCCTCTCCCTACCTCTCCATTCTCCTCATCCTCTTTTTTCCTCCTCTTCTCTCCTTCTTTTTCCTGTTAGGAGGGCATTAGCAGGTGCAGAGAGGATTTCTTTAATTTTTTTATTTGAGTTTGAGATGGGAGTCTTCGCTGTACATAGAGTTGCTTGGTATTTTTGGCTCATGGAATCGTAGCAGGGATTGGCAAAGCGATTCATTCTGCAGCTCCCCAAGTAGTGTATAAACAGAGGAGTCACTCATGTCCGGCTAATTTTGCATTTGTAGTAGAGATGGAGTTTTGCCATGTTGGCCGGGCTGGTCTCGAACCTCTGGCCTCAAGTGATCTGCCCACCTCAGCCTCCCAAAGTGCTGTGCCTGACTGACTTTCTTTACCTTTGATAAAAAGATGCTAATTCATAGGTTGTTGGTATTGTTATATTATATATATATGTATATATATGTGTGTGTATTTATGTGTGTGTATATATATATTTTTTAGACAGGGTCTCTCTGTAGCCCAGGCTGGAGAACAGCGGTGTGACTCACTGTAGCCTCTATCTCCCAGGCTCCATTAATCCTCCTACCTCAGCTTCCTGAATGGCTGGGATTACAGGCATGTGCCACCACACCCGGCTAATTTTTGTATTTTTTGTAGAGATGGGGTTTCATCTTGTTGCCCAGATTGGTCTTCAACTCCTGGGCTCAAGTGATCCTCCCACCTTGGCCTCCCCAAATGCTGGAATTACAGGCGGAATTACAGCCCGTAAATACAGGAATTACAACACCTGGCCAATAATACATATTTTCATCTTTAATTTATTTTTATTTGTTATTTTTGTAGAGACAGGGGTCTTGCAATGTTGGCCAGGCTGGTCTTGAATTCCCATCCTCAAGCAATCCTCCTTCCTTGGCCTCCCAAAGTATATAATGATATATATTTGTAATATACGTGTATGGTCATGATCTACCATTGTGCACAGAAGCGGAGGCTTGGAGAGGGAAATTGCTTGTTCGAAGCCACAGAACTAGGAAGTAGTGCAGGTATAACAGAGTCTCTACAACAGTGTTGCCTCGTGGAGTCATTGTCACAAACCTGAACCTCCTCCAAGTGCGGCTGGTGAGTGACTGTCATGTTAGGTTGAAACCACAGGTGCTAATATTTTGTGTTAAACCCCAGGATTCGAGGTGCCGCTGGGTGACTCTTCTACTTTGTCCAGTCACAGAGCTCTTGGCTCTGCCGACAGCTCATCTTGATAATCTTTCACCCTTATTGTCTTTAATCTCTATCATCTTCTCCTAGTTTTACAGATGAAAGAGCAGAGAAATACTTTTATGTGTGTTTTGTCCACATAGCCAAAACCAGGTGCAGCCTGGACTCAGGTTCCGCTCTGTCTGATTTCAGAGACTGGGCTGTTTCTCTCAGACTGCGGTGGCCCCGGAAGTAGGCCTTTACCATTCCATCTACGAATATTGCTGAACACAACTAAGTCCTTACAGTTGTTGTGATTTAAGCCTCATGTTCCATCATGTCGCTGAACAAACATGAACATTTATTATTATTTTTTTTGAGACGGAGTCTTGCTCTGTTGCCCAGGCTGGAGTGCAGTGGCATCATCTCGTTTCATTGCAACTTCCGTCTCCTGGGTTCAAGCAATTCTCCTGCCTCAGTCTCCTGAGTAGCTGGGATTACAGGCTCCCACCACCAAGCCCGGCTAATTTTTGTATTTTTAGTTGAGACAGGGTTTCACCATGTTAGACAGGGTTTCACCATGTTGGCCAGGCTGGTCTGGTCTGGAACTCCTGACCTCAGGTGATCCGCCCGCCTCGGCCTCCCGAAGTGCTGGGATTACAGGCATGAGCCACCGTGCCCGGCCAGCTTGAGCATTTTTACCACTTAATCTTCCTTCTTTTCCAACTGATCAACTGATGAAGAGACACCACTGCCACCGCCGCCGCCACCACCACCAACAACACTGAGAATTACTTTCATGTGTGTGAGGACGTAGCAGTGTGCCTGCTGTGTTCTGTGAAGGACAAAATAGAAGGCAGTGCCTGACATCTGAAAGCTGACGTGGCACTCAGAGCTGGCCAGTTTATTCTCCTATCAGACATTATCTCCCAGATTAATAATCTTAACCTTGCTCTGAGATCTTCGTACCATGAGATAAAGGAAGATGACTTCAGAAATTTGTGTAAGCACAGGCAAAAACAAGTTCCCTGTGCAACTTAACACAAAACCCAACACCTCCTCCGTCATGGCTAAAGTGACTGATTGCTACTTCTTTACTGATTAAATATTCTTGTTCTAGTCTGTCTTCCCTATAGACAAAATTTATTCAGAGACCCACTCATAGAATGTCCCTCCTTCGCCCTCTTTCCGACAGCAACCAATCTTTTTTTTTTTTTTTTTGGATGGAACCTCGCTCTGTTGCCCAGGCTGGAGGGCAGTGGTGAGATCTCGGCTCACTGCAAACTCCGCCTCCTGGGTTCAAGCGATTCTCCTGCCTCAGCCTCCCAAGCACCTGGGATTACAGGCGTGCATCACCACGCCTGGCTAATTTTTGTATTTTTAGTGGAAATGGGGTTTTGCCATGTTGGCCAGGCTGGTCTCAAACTCCTGACCTCAGGTGATCTGCCTGCCTCGGCCTCCCAAAGTGCTGGGATGACAAGCGTGAGCCACCACGCCCGGCCAGCATCCAATCTTGAGTGAATCTCTGCTTTCTTAAGCCTCCCATCCCAAATCACCCAAGCAAACTCCACATGATAGAACAGGTTCTTTCTAACACCCTGTTGCTTGCAACCCCTCCTGGTGCATGTTCTCCCTGGCTGCAGTGAGGGATAGATCAGTGTCAACTCCAGCGTGCTCCTGCTGGAGGCCGGCTGCAGAGCCTTGGCAGTTCTTTCCTACTTTAATCCTTACAATGACCATGAGAAACAAAGATCACTTGTTTTTGCTGTCAGTAGATTTGTTTTCCGGAGAGGTGATTCAAACGGTTCGAATTTCAAGTGAGTTATGCAAGGGAGAACATCAAAGTTCCCTGAGCCATGTCTGACCTCAGTCACACTGTCATCTTCCCTGCTGGTTACTGATGTAATTCTTGTGAAATCTAGATAGGTTTTTTGAATAGCCAAACAAGCATTTACTCCTTTTTTTTTTTTAAACACAAAAGATAGCTTAGTGTATATACTGTTTATTTTGTGACTTACTTTCTTAACAACAGACTTTGAAGAACTTCCCAAAACAATACATCAAAAGCTTTCTTTCTTCCTTTCCTTTCCCTTTCTTTCCTCTCCTTTCCTTTCTTCTTTCTTTCCTTTTTCCCTCCCTCCCTCCCTCCCTCCCTCCCTTCCTTCCTTCCTTCTCTCTTCCTCTCTTTTGAGAGTCTTACTCTGTCACCCAGGCTGTAGTGCAGTGGTGCAATCTCAGCTCACTACAGCCTCTACCTCCTGGGTTCAAGCGATTCTCCTGCCTCAGCCTTCCATGTAGCTGGGATTACAGGCACATACCACCATGTTCAGCTAATTTTTGCATTTTTGGTAGAGACAGGGTTGCACTATGTTGGCCAGGCTGGTGTTGAACTCTTGATCTTAGGTGATCCACCCGCCTTGGCCTCCCAAAGTGCTGGGATTACAGGTGTGAGCCACCACACCCGACCCAGCTCTTTCTTTCTTAAAGATGATTATTACTATTCCATAGATAAGACAGCCGAGGCTTAGAGAGAGGCACGATCACACATGATCTCCCAACTAACAAGAGGAAGAACTAGGGGTGGAACCCGGGACTCCCCAAGTCCTCTCTTCTGCACAGAACACTGTGCTGTGTTCAAAACAGATCATGGATAATGAACAGAATCTGTTTCCTGCCTGTCTCAAACCCTGCTCTGTCCCCTGCTCCTCCCGTCGCTCGCCCACCTTGCTGCCTCACCTGCGTTCAGCCCACACATGCAGCCAGCCAGCGACACCCATCCCACCAGGTTCTGCATCACCTCCAACTGCTGCAAGTGTCATGCACCGCAGCCAGCGTCACCTCTGATTTTATACTCTCCCATTTCTGCCCCTCCCACCCCAGCTGCTCTCACAGATGTACTTGACAGCATTTTCTCCCCTGCTCTCAATCTCAAGGTGCTCAAAAAAACTAGCAGCATCCACCTGGGAATGTCGTTTTGGTTTTTTCTTTGAGACAGAGTCTTGCTCTGTTGCCCAGGCTGGAGTGCCATGGCGTGATCTTGGCTCACTGCAACCTCCATCTCCAGGGTTCAAGCGATTCTCCTGCCTCAGCCTCCCGAGTAGCTGGGACTACAGGCACCCACCACCATGCCCGGCTAATTTTTGTATTTTTAGTATAGAGAGGGTTTCGCCATGCTGGCCAGGCTGGTCTTGAACTCCTGACCTCATGTGATCTGCCCACCTCAGCCTCCCAAAGTGCTGGGATTACAGGCTTGAGCCACCATGCCCAGACCCTGGCTGATTTAATTTTTGTTTTGTTTTGTTTTCGTAGAGACAAGATCTCGCTATGTTGCCCAGGCTGGTCTTGAACTCCTGGCCTTAAGCAGTCCTTCTGTCTCACCCTCCCAAAATGCTGGGATTACAGGCATGAGCCACTGCATCTGGCTGATAATGCACCTTTGACTTTGATTTTCTTTTCTTTCTTTCTTTCTTTCTTTCTTTCTTTCTTTCTTTCTTTCTTTCTTTCTTTCTTTCTTTCTTTCTTTCCTTCTTTCTTTCTTGCTTTCTTTGAACACTCTTTTAACACTCTTAATTCTAGTTGTAACTTGTCTTAAAGACAATGGGCAGTGATATTGCTGAATATTGGTGAGGTTGTAGAGGCTATGATAAATCCACACAGAGCTGGTGGGGAACATTCTGGAGATTCACCCCTCACCGCACATTAAAGGCATGTTCAGGACGCTGAGCCGGAGCCAGAACACCGTACCCTTTGGAAGGACTGACGTGAACACCAGAGAGAACTCGTTATTCTTTTCCTGCCCAACGGAAGAGTCACTATACCCCAAGGCACTGGATAAAAAATGTGATAAAACATTTTTTCAGAACCACAGTTGGTATCTAGCCAGCGGTACTGGGTGTGTAGGGGCGGGGACGAAAGAAAAATCTTTCCCGAGGTCATGAAGTGTCAGGATGGTATCTGGATTCTAGAGCTTCCCTGGGATGGCCGCTCATCACAGGCACACAGAGATTCCTGATGATTCTAAGACAGAGGACATCATTCAGGCCCTCCATTGTTATCTTCCACAGACATGAAGAGGGATGGCATTGGGTTTGGATTCAGAACAGCTAGCTGCAATGCTGGCTTTAGGACTAGTGGAACATAGAGGAGCATTCACATTGGATAGACTCACGTTCAAATCCTGGATTTTCCACTTATTAGTTGGGGACGTTACCTAAATGCCTTGACCTCTCTCTGTGACAGCGGTTGTTGAATGTCCTTTTTCACAGAGGCATGGCACAAGACCAGTGGCAGGTATTCAAGCTTCACGAGTATTTGTTGCTTTTAAGAGTTGAATAAGGCTGGGCGTGGCGGCTCACGCCTGTAATCCCAGCACTTTGGGAAGCCGAGGTGGGCGGATCACTTGAGGTCAGGCGTTCGAGGCCAACCTGGCCAACATGGTGAAACCCCGTTTCTACTAAAAATACAAAAATTAGCCAGGCGTGGTGGTGGGTACCTGTAATCCCAGCTACTCGGGAGGGTGAGAGGGGAGAATCGCTTGAACCCAGGAGGTGGAGGTTGCAGTGAGCCAACATCGTGCCATTGCATTCCAGCCTGGGCAACAGAGCGAGACTCTGTCTTCAGGAAAAAAAAAAAAAAAAGTTGAATAATTGTAGTGAAGACACACAGATCTTCCTGAACCCTGTGCATCTGCAAGGGTTGCCATAAAATGCCACAGGCTGGGGGTGTTTCCTCATAGTTCTGAAGGCTGGGACTCCATGGTCAAGGTGCTGGCAAGCTCAGTTTCGGGTGAGGACCCTCTTCCTGGCTTCTGCCTTTCCACTGTGTTCTCATGAGGCATTTTCTCTGTGTGCATGGAGAGAGGGGGGCAAGAGAAAGAGAGTATCCGTAATCCCAGATACTCGGGAGGCTGAGACAGGAGAACCGACTGAACCCAGGAGGTAGAGGTTGCAGTGAGCCGAAACTGCCACTGCATTCCAGCCTGGGAAACAGAGCGAGACTCATATATATATATATTATATGGTTTAATAGAGGACAAGGTCTGATATGTTGGCTCAGGCTGGTCTCGAACTTTCTGGGCTCAAAACCAATCCTTCCTGCTTGGCCTCTCAAAGTTGGCTGGGATTACAGGAGGTAAAATTACAGGGGTTGAGAGAGACGAGAGA